GATTCCAATAGTGTATCTAACTCATTTTGCCTACTTTTGTCGCTTAGTCAGGATTGCCTTTCAAGCGTCGATATGATCAGAGAGTTTTGGCAGCAACCCGAGTGAAGCGTCACTTGAAGTTTATTTTAATGTTTTTTTATTATGATGTATAATATACAAATTGGGTGTTATTTTGTGTATTAAACGTCAATAATCGTTACGTCGTCACGATTATTGAGGCATTGGAATAAAACTGTGGCTAACATAGCAGTGACTGTTTTTTTTTCAAGATAAAAGGTCTGCGGAAATTCACGCTCACTCAATGTGCTATTCATCGAGTTGACGTCAAAACTCCTAAAAAGCAATAAAAAGAGACACCCCAGATTATTATTGAAAAACAAAAATATAGCTACGACAGACTAGGCTGTATAGGCTACGCTCTTTGCCTGCTTATTGGTGAATTTAAAAACAACAACAACAATATCGTTGCCGGACTTGCCGGCTTCCGGATTTTCATTTCATTTTATTATTATTATGAGGATATAATAATAATAAATGTACGTAAGGGCTTATTTCTAGCAACATTAACCACAATTAACTTATTTAGGACTTTTTGGCGGGAACGCGAGGAGTGAAGTTGTGTGATTTGTTTTGTGGCGGGTAGCCATCATACGACGCAAGATAATTGACAGATGCCTGAATCTCGCTTACGACATTTTCAAGATAAAGCGCATATATACAAGTTCCGAACAACAACATTCGGACCGTCGGTCTACCGAGCAAATATCATCCGCTCGGTGGAAGATCTTCCCTTTGTCGTCAAGCCTTCCCCAAACTGGTGACCCCGACGTGATCTGAACACGCAACCTTCTGATTCATCATCAGCGCATCAAGAACTTCGGCTACCACAATCCCCGCATTCTCGCAGATAAAAGCACGTCATTGACAGTCGTCCCACAGCAAGCCAGCATCGCAGCCTCAACAGGACCATCGCAGCCGACTCACCGCGCTTCCTGGTCCTACGGCACGCAACTTCACTGCCTCATCACGCCGCAACAGTTCATCGCAGCCCACGACCGGATCATCAACGCTTGGGGTCACACATCTCCGGCGTGGCAGCTCTGCACACATGGACTACTGGCGACACGCACGCAGCATTCAAGCTCAGTCTCGACTCACCGCAGACTTCGAGCAGCACTGGCGACACGCACGCAGCATTCAAGCTCAGCCTCGACTCACCGCAGGCTTCGAGCAGCACTGGCCCTTGCAAGCTAATCTCAGCACGGACAACGCTAA